AGTTATCTGGATATATCTTTCTGATATATCCAGATAAATATGTCATGCTATGCACAAGAATATTTTGTGTTGGCATCGCAAATTAGTTAATATTTGGCCTAAACATGCTGATAAATGGTAAGATAAAAATATACAGGCAAACTAAATAAGTTAAGAAACATATAACATCATTTCTTCTCCTTTTCAAACAGAAACAGTAATAAACAAATCATTTTGTTCTTGGTTATGTGTTGTTCTCTGTCCCACTTATTGCTCGCTCACTTGTTTTTTAAAACCTGTTTGAAATAAATAAATACAAAAATCTTCTTCTTTTAATGCTTATTTAGACACAGTGAAGGTGATTTCCTTTCATTTTTCATCCAGAAGCGTCCCCTGATTTTCATAAATACTGGGACAAAATGACATTTCGGGTCTGTCGATGCAGAAAGCATGTCGCAGAAGGAAAGAAGCAAAAGACGACGCTGTCAGCGGAAATCGATTTTTAGCCTCTGAACCTTTTAGCTCGTAAAAATCGTCTTGTCATTTGGTCAGTCTCTGGTCTTTAGGCAGGTGGTGGGTTTCTATGTCTGAATTAGCAGAAATAATAAATAATTTGTTCCTGTTTTAGCAACACCTGAAGGAATTTTACCAGCAGCAGCTTCAACAGCAGACCAGCAAGAAAGTCAAAGAGGTAAAAGCTGCTTAATCATAAAAATATTACACATACCAAGACCTGCATGTGTGACTGGTTAATATGCAGCGCTGGAAAAAACAAAGAGCCCACTGAAAACCGAAAACCTCCTGGTTCTTCCACCATGTACTGATTTCTGAACTCTTTCTTAGTTAAAATTTCAGGATTGTTGTTTCTAAATGAAGATGAATTTGTTTTCTTTGCATTATTTGCATCCTTTTCCTTATTTTGACCATTTCTCATTTTCTGCAAATAAATACAAAATTCTTGCATGGAATTTCAGAGACATGTTGTCAGTAGTTCATAGAATAAAAGAAAAATGTTCATTTTACTCAAACATTTACCTATGAAGAGTAAAATCTGAGAAACTGATCTCTTCATTTTTTCCCCAGAGCTGTTTATACCAGTAAACATATATACCAGACTTCTGGGAAATCTTCTATTATGACAAACCTGTTAATATTAATGTTTCTGAGTGGCAGAGAATCTGTAGAGAGAGTAAAGATTATATTTCAAGAGATGCTTCTCATTCCCTATCAGAAACATCTGGGTCTGCCAGGTGTTTGAACAATTAAGGTAGAAAAGAAAGTAAGATTAAACAAAGTTATGATTTTTTCACTTTTAACATGTTTTTAAAAATGTTATTGTATAGCTCATTTCAGCAACGAGGCATTTCAAAGTGCCTTTACATCATAAAAATACAGAAATACAAAGTCATTATTATTGCTATTAATTTATCTGTTAAATTTGCTTATTGTGTTTTTATTTTGTCTGTTATTTTGTTAAAGTATCTTCATAATTATAATTATTGGTTTATTTTGGGATCATTTTTTGACAAATCAATACACAGACATTAAATAAAGTAATAAATCTTTTTATTATTACTCAGATATTTAGTTAAATTTACATTAAGTGCAGAAATCCTGTATTGTTTTAATTTATCATGTTGGAAGCATATATATTGATTTTTTTAGTCCCATCAGTCAGAAGGGGTAAAACAGCTGCAGACAATGTGATTGGTCAGCAGGTCGACCAATCAGAAGCCAGCCTTGGTTTTAATGTTTTACATTTTAATGATTGAGCTCCAAATGTACTTATCATTTATCTTTGTGGTTGATGTATAAAGTTCTGAAATAATCATAGATTTTTATTGATTTCATTTTAATTCAGCGATCACATGTGATATTATTGATATATTTATTGATCTGTGGCCCTTTTAGTTTATTTTTTATCTTTGTAACTAAACATCCAGCAGTCCTGAATGCTCTGATTTCTCGCTCTGAAGCGTTTAAGCAAACTTTCCTCCCTGACGTGAAATATGTTTGCTCAGCAGCTGATGTTCCAGCAGAAACCGGCCGCCTCTCCTCCCGGCCTCTCCTCAGGTTCAGGTCAGGAACACACAGCTCTTTGCTGGTTTTTCTCTCTTTCGGAACGTTTCCTTTCACTTTTTCCCCTTTTACTGATCAGGACAAAAACCATTTGTGCCGACTTAACAGGCTATTTCGGTCCCGCGGAGATGCAGAAGTTGTGGAAGGAACTCAGATCGGCTCTTTCTGACGACGGGGTGGCGATGAGCGGGAACCAGAAAACATCCGCTCGAGTCGAGCCGACCGGGGATCGGCTGTCTGAGTCTCCTCCCGGAGCGGAGCGGTGAGGTCCTTTATTCCCAGTTCGGCCTTTTTGTAAGCATCAAAGACGCGTCGTCTGCAGACGTCCTCTGTGTCTGAGGCAACGTTTGCTTTTGAGGATTCGGTTCCCAGTGGGCTGCTTTGTTTTGCTGTTGTCTTGCTTTTTTTATTCCTCCACCTGAGGTGGTTCAGCAAAGAAAGGAACAAAAAAGAAAAAGAAAGTTGACATGACTGGAGAACATGTCCCTGAATCAAAAGTGAAATAGCTTTCCGTTTATTTGTCGGTCTTACCCGCCACCTCTTCCTGTCACTTCATGCCACCCAAAAAAAAGGAAATCTAAAGTCTTCTGTCAGGAGTTTCTGTCAGGAGTTTCTGTCAGGAGTTTCTGTCAGGAGTTTCTGCTGTGATTTTTATTTTTTTGTTTTTAAGTGATGTGTCGGTTTTTCTTTTTCCTCCCTCTCATCCAGTAGTGGTGCAGACAGGGACCCGGCTCTCGTGCGCGCCCTCTTCGGTCCCGGAGTGTGCAACTGGCCCGGCTGTGAGTCCGTCTGTGAAAACATCGCCCAGTTTGTCCAGTGAGTTTTTCCCCCCCCTGTAGCTCCAAACGTCTGACATCTTCACCTTTTGTAGCAAACTTAGCACTTTCTGAAAAAAATAAAAGTAAAAAAATCTACTGTGATGCTAAATATATCGAACAGATTCTTTACAAAAATGCAGACAAGTAGAAAAGAAAGATAAAAAGTGTAAAATAGTGGCTAAGACAAACAAATGTCAAGAACAACACACGATGTGTTTAATTTTAATATGTTGAAATGAACTAATGCGTCACTCAAATCGACACAAATATTGTTATTTTGACACGATATCGATATAAAATGTGTTTTCATACATTAGCTTGAATAAAAATGGACATTTCCATACGTGGCTATAAGAGATAACCTTTATTAAAATTAAGTTGCGCACATGTTGCAACAATAAAGCTGCAATGTGAAGCAGTGAAATATAAAATTCAAATTAAAATCACCAATTTTAATTTGAATCAACTTTTTTTTTTTTCTTCCAAGGTCAAACTAACAAAAAACACATTTTTAAAAGTTATTCAACCCCACAGTTTTCAATAATCCATGCTGCCTGTGCAATTATTATATTTTTAACATTCTGTGAACAAGAACTAAAAACAAATATATAAGATTCATAAATGATCTAATGTAGAAGAATCCCTGTCTTGCCATGTTCAACATTCATCTGTCAAATGGCAACATGCAAAACAAATAGAGAAACAAAATGTGTGTTTTTTTTCCAGGAAAAACACATTTTGTTTTTCTATTTATACCATCAATTATACATTTAAAAATCCAATTTCTTCTACTGAATACACTGATCGTATAACACCTTGTCATTCTGAAGGTGTGTGATCTTTAAATAAAATGTGAAATGGTAAAAATCAAACCCTTTTATTATAGATGAAACTTACAGTCGTTAATAACAATCATAATTTTTTAATTAAGAACAGACAGAACATCTGGTAACAAAGGTTTAAATAACAACTCAATATGAGTCCAATGGATAAAATACTGTAATCCTTTAGCTAAACTTTCAACAGACGTCCGAATGTTGGTCCAATCACCTGTTGAATTTATTCCTTCGGCTGAGTTATGGCTGCTTTTCTGACATAACGCCCACATTGTCATACGTAAAGAAGAGTGTTGTGGAAACCTGTTTCTCAGAAAAGTTATTGAATGTTTCTGTTTTTTCCAGACACATGAGCAGCGAACACACTCTGGACGACAGGAGCACGGCTCAGTGCCGCGTCCAGATGCAGGTGGTCCAGCAGCTGGAGCTGCAGGTGAGCCGGAGCCACGTTAGATTTGACATGAGTGAATCCTATGAAAAAGACAAATATCTACTCTTCAGGTTGAGGTACTGACGCATTGTGAAAAAAAAAAAAAAATAGCAGACTGTCCGGCCATTATGATCCTGTTTGTGTTTCTTTACATCCAAAACTTTGTTTCACACTTTTTGCCTCATTTAGGTCTTTTTTTTCTTCTTTTTTTCCCCCATGAAAAACAACTTTAAGTGTCAAATGGTGAGCAAGAATGTATCTGTTCCAATAAGCAAACGCACAAAAACAACCGTAATCTGACTCATCGTCTTGTTGTTTTTCTTAGCTTTGGATCTGCATCGGTCAGCCAACGGCGACTTTCAGCAGATGTTAAGACGCAGCAGGAAATTGTTTTGTTTTGGAAAATGTGTTCCGGATGAAAGGCTTCCATTCTAATTAGCCGAATTCAGTGTTTGTTGGTTTTGTTTTTTTTTTTTTTTTTTTTACAACATGACACCGTCTCGTCTCGTTCAACAGCTCTGCAAAGAACAGGAGCGTCTGCATGTGATGATGGCTCACCTGCGCCTGCCTTCCCCGCGCGCTCAGTCGGCAAAGTCTGACGCAGCCGCTGACCGCTGCAGCCCACAGGTACGCCGCAAAACGCATGAGCCGCAATTAGTTGTGTCTGCCGTCTTCAAATGAAATTTAGCGAGTTTCAGATTTTGACCCTAAATGTGCGAGTTTGTGAAAGATAAACCGAACCTTTTATTCAGTTTGTCAAACCTGCAAGAGTTTGACAAAACTCTTCAGTTTTTTCCTTCTTTCAGTTTCAGGAACTGAATGAAGGAAAAGACAGGAGTGGGAACTGTTTCCCAGAATGCTTAGTGGCAGTGTTGTGGTACTCGAAGTTGGTCTTGGTCTTAAGACCGGTCTTAAGACCA